AAACAGACAAAAAGAAAAACGCACAGTACATATGTGTACATCAAATGAAATGATGCCGCATTACAAAATATTTAAATACCTCCCACCCACTGGGCGGTGTTTGTATGCATAACACGCATGCGTTTTTTTTTTTTTTTCTTCTTCTTCTTTTCTTTTGGAAATGGGGAGGGAGGAAGGGGAAGAAAAAAAAAAAAAAAATTGCATCACTCTGCTGGTTACTTATGCCAAGCCAAATAAAAAAGCAACACCAAGGCGATGGGGGGGGGGGGGGGAAACAAACAAAAAAGGCAAAACTGCATGAAGTCCGGCAAGCACAAATATGACACCACGAGGCGCGAAAGAAGTAAAGTATTAACATAAGCAGCAGACAAATAATATATGAAAACAACAACAAAATTCACGCGAATGGCGTTCGTACGCGGCACGTAAAGGCTGAGAGAAGCCCGCAGGCCACACCCCCTCCACTAAAAAGGAAAAAAGAAAACAAAATTAAAGACAAAAACGACACGAGCAAAACAAAAAAAAAAAAAAAAAAAAAAACACATCCCCCCCCCCACTCTCCGAGGCTAACGCCGTAATTTCAAGGCAAACGCCTCTCTCTCTCTCTCTCTCTCTTCCCCTTCCCCCACGCCCCTCCAATTCTTTTGCATGGAAAAACACACGGATGATAAAATGAAACTTTAATTTATGTCCCCGGCCCTTCTCCGGCTGTGATGGCGAGTCACAACAAATCGCCCTTCGCCCTTCTTCCCTCCTCCCCACTTAAACGGGGGACATGACAGATCCAAGAAAGGCCCATCGATACATAAATACATATTGATTGATTGATATAATGACATAATGACATATATATAAATATAAATAAATAAATAAATAAATAAATAAATAAATATAAATCTAAATATATAAATGTATATATTTATATGGTATATAGATCTGTATACATGCATGCGTATATGTACATATATATATATATACATATTTCTGTACATCCACTTTCTTTCCTCATAAAAAAAAAAAAATATTTGCTTTTGTTCCTTCGTGTCGCCATAAAACACTTCACGTTGTCCCTAACTTCTTCCCCCTCCCTTTCCTCCTCTTCTTCCTTTTTTTTTTTTTTGTCCTCCTCCTCTTATTATTCTCACAACACCCACAAAGGCCGAGGTCTACGTTCATCCACAACGACCCCCTTCCACAAGAGAAAAAACATGCACAGGGCAACCAACACAAAAAGACACACACGCAGACATACGGGGGGGAAAGAAAGAAAAAAAAAAAGAAAAAAAAAAAACCCGCATTATTCGCACCCAACACATCGATCAACAAAAATAAAGAACAGTCAAAGAATTGGGCCGTTCAGGTGTGTGCTTGCACGTAAAGAGAAGCTGCATGCAACCCGGAACATCGTCCATGCATGCTCGCGTTACGCCCATATTTAATTAAATACTACAGGCCCCCCTCCCCTCCCCTCCAAAAATAAAATAAAATGAAATAAAAAGTAAAAAAAGCCGCGGCTGAGTCGCAGGCACCGACATCATAAAAAAAAAGAAAAAAAAAAAACAAAAAAGACAATGATAAAATTACACGCACAGACGCAAAGGCCAACAACAACGACAACAAAAGACGAATTGTAAGAAATAAGAACGGAAAAATTAAGAGGAGAGAGAGAGAGAGAGGGCGAAGGGGGGCGAGAGAAAAATAAGGCTTCCAAAAACATGACGAAAACCATCACATGCAGTACGAACGACGGTGCAAAACAGCACCAAAAATCAAATGAACTCTTCCTCAAAGAAGAAAAAACAAAAAAACAAACAAAAAACTCCTGCATCCACAAAGTTTGCATGCGCACATCTATTTGTTACATACATGGGCACTATTGGTACAAGGGTAAGGGCACCTTCTATGCTCTGTGTTTTCCTGTTTAAAACCCATTTAACTTCTCGTTTTCGCTTTTGCTCTCTTCCCTCGGAATATTCCGTTTGACGATATCGTCATTTTTTTTTGGATTCCATACATACGTACACACACACACACACACACACCGGGTAGATGTCACGTCACTAGCATCTCTTACAAGAAAATGGGTGCTTCAGTCAATTTCTATTTTTTTATTTATTTTTCATTTCTTCTCTTCTATCACTTTTATTCGCTCTCTTTTCCCCCTTTTTTTTTCCTCCGTGTCTCTCTCGTTTGCCGCCGTCCTTCCCCCATCTTTCCTGCGTCGGCGTGCCCGTCAGCCTGGCGGCCGGCCCTTCCATCTACTCGCGGCGACCGTGTGCGTCCATACAAGCACGGGGCAACAAGCAGGCGGGTGCGCACAAAGACAGAGGGGGGGGGGGGAGGACGCACACAACAAACAAAGAAAGAAAAAAGACAAACGCGTGATTGTGTGGGTGTCGGAGTTAAAATCCATTTGGCTTTTTTTTTTCTTTTTCTTCCTGAACCTCATTTTTGTCAATCTTCATTCTCCCATTCAACACCAGCAGACCGCCCCTCTCTTTTCCACCGCAGCCGCCACCCGCAAAAGACCCGAGGCACATGCGAGGTGGCAACGACTAGGGAGGGGAGGCGGGGCGGAAAAAGAGAGGCGGATGTGTTGAGCGGAAAGAGACAAGAGAAATCACATTGCCCAGGAAAAAGATATAATAACGAGCGAACAGTTAAATGTGCGACAAGGGTAAGAGCAACACAATGTACATGACGGAAATCAAAATAAGGTGAACAAGTCCGGTGCGCCCCACGTCAGTGACGGCAAAAAAAAAAAAAAAAAAAGAAAAAAAAAAAGAAAGAAAGAAGGAAACAACAAAAAAGAGAGAGAGAGAGAGAGAGGAAAAAAAGGGGTCGTTGATACTAAGAAGCGTGCACTGATCGCATACCTAATTAACTTATGGGAGCACAGGGGAGGGATGACAAGAGTGGTGCAGTTTGACTCCCGTTATTACTAATCACCACCACTGGTCGTTATCACACACAAAGACAAAAAGGAAAAACAAAAACAACAACCAAATCAACAGATAAAGCAAGCAGCACACAAATACACACACACACAAAAAAAAAAAAAAAAAAAGACAGAGTGATGCAATGGGGATGGAGGAGCACAATTTACTTCGACTTGTTTCTCTTCTATGGCGGAAAAGGTAGGGGGCACGTGTCTATTCACACGTCACCCCGTCCGTCCCCCTTTGATTTTACTCATGCAATCGACAATGCTGCTGATATTCCTCGGCGGAAAGAACAACAACAACAACAAAAACAACAAAGGAACATCGTCCTCCGCACATACACACGCAAACACACACACACACACCAATCCCTTTCTTTTTCCCCTATTCCCCGCCAATTGTAGAAAGCAAGCGTATCAACAATTGTGCACGCAGGCTGAATCTCCCTACCCCGTCCAGCAGACCCCTCCCTTCCCTTCCCCTGTGCAGCCCAATCGGGCGAAGCTCGCACCCATACACACATCTGCGGTCCGGGAGAGGGCAGGGGAACAGGCAGGGTGACGATGGGAGACGTGCAGTGCAGCCGCGCACGGGAAATAATAATAATAATAACCCAAGAAGAAACACCAGAATAAAAAAAAAATCTGCACCACCAATAAGTAATCAAAAGCAGTCCATAAAATAAAGCAAAAACCAATATACGTAAAGAAAAACAAAAACAACGACAACAACAAACATGGAGAAAAAGTAAAACGTGTAAAAAAAGAGAAAGAAAAGAAAAAAAAAAATGGCCGCTCCCAACTTGCTTTATCGGATCTTATCCAAATCCCCCCTCCTTCATTCCTCTTTCCTTTCATTCCTTCTCTGCAGACGATTTCTTCTTATCTCTTCCACCCGCTTTTCGCGCTGAATAAATCTTAGACGGGCATTTCCCCCCCGCTCTTTCATTATTATTATGAACCCCCTCCTCGTTTGGTTCATTCGTCCCCGCTGCCTCTCCCAACCGCCCCACGTCACCGAGGCGCCTTGCAGCGAGCCACCACAGCGGACAGTAGTCAAAGCACCCCACATCCCCCCACCCAAAAAACAAAAACAACAACAAAAAACGTCAACCAACGCGAATTGGTGGGGGAACACCACGAGGCAGTGAGACACCCCCACGAAGGGGATGAAGAGGAGGAGGAGGAGGAGGAGGAGGAGGAGGAAAAAAACGCTCCGACAAAAAAAAAGGAAAAAAGGAAAAAACGAAAAAAAAAAAAAAAAGGGAAGAAAGGGGGGAAAAGGGGAAGAGGAGGGGAGAAAAAAAAGGGTAAAAACGACAGCAAGACAGACAAAAGGAAACAAACAAACAAAAAAAAGGTTTGAGTCCGCAATTCGAACACACACATTTTTTTTTTTTGTTTCCTTTTGAAATATTTCGTTACGCCACTCCAAGTTATTTAGCCGCATTTCTTCCTCTTTTCCTTTTTTTTCCCCCCTCCCTCTTTTCTCTGCAGCGTCGCCGGCTCGCGTCCCCTCCCCCTTTTTCCTGGAGTTCATTCTTCTTCTTCCGTCCTCTCCCCCTATCTCCGCATCGATTTCAATTTTCCTACAGCGTTCTCGTTTCCTTTTTGTGATGCGTCCCAAATGCACAAAAGCACGCACACCAACCCCACCTCTATTTTTAATTCTCGCGCAAATCCTTTTTTCTTGACTGTTTTTTTTTTTTTTCTTTTTCTTTATTTCTTTTTTAAAATCTTCCTTTTGTTTTTGTCGCAACAGTTTTTCCTTCTCTTCTTTTATCCCCATTCATCCCTCGTGAGCGCGTTGTTTATAACGGGCGGTGCTTTCCATTGGCCCAAAAGGGAAATATTGAATCAGGAAGGCCGTCTCGCTACATGCCGTATTGGATACTCCCTCCCTTACACACACACACACACACACACCCAGGGCCATACACGCTCCACTTTTACTTTATACCTGCGTTGTCATACAGTACCGTGCATACATAGAGCGAAAAGCTCTTATTCTTTTGGCACAAATCCATTTCCAACCAATGTTAATAAGAGGGAGGAAGGGTTACTCTTCTCCGTGGTACATGGCGTACGGGTTGTTGCGCCGCGTGGGGCTGATCATCCGCATCTTGCCACTCATGTCCATTGTTGCCTGATTAGGGAAAATCATTCGCGATGGCACAATACTTGGAGTTGCTTCACCAGATGCTTGATGCTCCTCCCGTGCCATGAATACAGGGTTGTTACTCTCCGTGCCACTGTTGCTTAACATTGGCTCCCCTACAGTTCCCTGGTTGACTTTTGGCGACGCAGCGTCAGTTGCCCCAGTAAAACGTTGTGCAACCATAAGTGCCACCTGGCTACCACTCATCCAAGGACCGTTGTGGCGAACACGAGGGTTCACAGTAATATCGGAGCTGGGAGAATCGCCACGAGATGTGCTATTGGGGCTCACTTCCCCCACAATCGAGTTAACAGGCGATCCGGCGGCATCTGTGACAACATGAAGAAAACGACAACTTTCGCCCCTTCGACAGAGACGATTGGTTCGAAAATGGGCACAGTGTTGCATCTTCTTCTTGGGAATTGTTCCCTCAACCTCAAACGCCGTCAAGTACTGACGTGAACCCAACGTCAAAAGCACTTGATCACCAGGATAATCAACAAAGGAGTCTTTACTGTTCTGTTCAA